TGTGACGAAACAAGATTTAGTTTGTTTCGTTTTAGAATTATCGAACTATTTCTAAGTTATTTTTCATATATAAACGGTTGTTTTCATTGTATTTTATTTAGCTGAATGTAACAACCTTTAATAAACAACATTAATTTGAATCTTTGTATTCGTTTTTCTACATTTATTAAAGGGTTCATACGTCAGCAAAGTGATTTTTGTGTTTTGATTTTATGATTAAGATTGTTGATTAAAATGTTCTTTTTGTATGATTTTTGTGATTTTTGATGTCTATGAATTTAAGATTTCTATGATTTTGTGATTTTTATGTACTTTATGATTTTGTAAAACTTAAGAAGATTTTGCTGATTTTGAAACCAGAAACCAGAATTTACTAGCGGTTTATCTCGTTTGGGTCTTTCAGATTCCGATTGTAATTGTCGAACAAGTTATAAATCATTTGATGTTTATGAATGAATTATCAGATTTGAAAATGTATCGATATTTTCCGGCTAGTGGAGAAATTTATGATGTTTTGTTTGTTTTGATCTTCTAACATTGGTTATGTCATTTATGAACGCGATAATGAGCACGCGTGTATTTTGTTTCTGGCGACTTGTTATATCGTATCCATTGCAGCATGCGCTTGCGCACCGCAGCATGTTTCCTTTTCATACGTCCTTTTCCGCCATGTGCTTTCTATAGAATTTGTGACTCACATACAAGCTAGTGATTGCATGTCTTTCATTCGATTCATTCGGTTGCTGAATTCCTACTTGACGGTCATCATCTTTAGATGATAAACGCTTGCATAAATGTCAATTGAAAGGCTGTAATAAAGTCTTCACCAAACGAATTAATCTAACCAGGCATAAGAAACAAAAAAAAAAGGTATGATGAAAACATATTGTTTATTTACTAATTATTAATTTAATTTTGAATTTTTTTCTTTGCACAAAAAAACAACATCCGTGTAGTTGGCCAGGTTGTGGGAGTAAATTTAAATGTAAAGAAGAATTGACCAGACATCAACGATATCATACTGGTCAAAAACCATTTCAATGTGAACATTGCGAACAATGTTTTACTCAATCCGGTAGTCTAAGGCCGTGGTCCCACTTGTAAAAACTAACAAACAGACTAAACCGAAAAATACACTGTGGAAGTAGAAAACGGCAAACTAGTTTTTTTAGTTTGTTCAAGTGGGACCACCGCCTAACCAGGCATAAGAAACAAAAAAAAAAGGTATGATGAATACATTTTGTTTATTTACTAATTATTGATTTATTTTTTTGAATTGTTTATTCGTATAAAGATTTATGTTGTGTTAAATTGATCACATCATCATGGGAATTTTTTTTCAATTTCGGTGTATCTTCCATCAGATCCATCGATTAATGAACATTTGGAAAAAATTACCGGCTTTCTTGGAAACAACAACGACACCCCAACAATAATGAGTGGAGATTTCAACAGCCACCATTCATCATTTTGAAATGGGAAGGATACAAAAAAAAAGGCCAAAAACAACTGAACTGGATACGGAAATTCTATTTAAAAGTTTATAGTACACCTAAATAGTACACCTAAACAATTTCATCATCAGCAACAACATCATCTTTAGATGATGAACAATTTAAATGAGAACATTGTGAAAAATGTTTCACTCGATCCGGTAATCTATCCACGCATAAGAAACAAAAAACATTCAGGTATGATGAAAACATTTTGTTAATTTACTAATTATTAATTTAATTTTGAATTTTTTTCTTTACAAAAAAAAACCAGATGAAAAACCTCATCCGTGTACTTGGCCTGGTTGTGGGAAAAATTTAAATGAAAATCTGACTTGACCAGACATCAACGATTTCATACTGGACAAAAANTGAAAACATTTTGTTAATTTACTAATTATTAATTTAATTTTGAATTTTTTTCTTTACAAAAAAAAACCAGATGAAAAACCTCATCCGTGTACTTGGCCTGGTTGTGGGAAAAATTTAAATGAAAATCTGACTTGACCAGACATCAACGATTTCATACTGGACAAAAACCATTTTAATGTGAACATTATAAACAATGTTTTACTCAATCCAGTATTCTATCCACGCATAAAAAACAAAAACAAAAAGGTATAATGAATAACATTTGATCATTGATTTATTGATTTAATTTTGAATTGTTTATTCGTATAAAGATTTATGTGGATTTATAAAATCCGAAAGGCATCAAACGAAATGATACAAATGGTATCAAAAAATCAATGTGATTTGGTGGTAATATCGGAACCACCGAACAAATTCCGGGAAATTTTTTCAAATTTTACCATTATATCACCGCGAACAAACCTACCTCGAGCCATAATCATCATCATCAATGAAAATATCGTCTCACAATTTATCCCACTTCGTTCAAAAGATTTATGTGCGGCTAAATTGTCCACATCATCATGGGAATTTTTTTTAATTTCGGTGTATCTACCATCAGATTTATCGATTAATGAACATTTAAAAAAAATTACCGGATTTCTTGAAAACAACAATGGCACTCCAACGATAATGAGTGGAGATTTTAACAGCCACCATTCATTTTGGCATGGAAATGATACCAAAAAAGGCCAAAAACTACTGAACTGGATACGTGAATTAAAATTAAAAGTTTATAGTACTCCTGAACCATCATTCAGTAGAAAAAATTTCCTGACAAGTTACATTGATTTAACTTTAGTCAATGAACAAGCATCCGAATTGATTGATAATTTTTGGCAAATGAAAAACAGATATAGTGATCATTCGGCGCAAATATACACTATGAAGTATTTTTTTCTTTTGTTTTTTTTTTCATAATGATTAATTGTTTTTTTACAGACTAACAATTTCATCATCAGCAACAACATCATCTTTAGATGATGAACAATTTCAATGTGAACATTGAAAACAATGTTTCAGTCGATCCGATAATCTAACCAGGCATAAGAAACAAAAAAAAAAAGGTATGATGAATACATTTTGTTTATTTACTAATTATTGATTTAATTTTGAATTGTTTATTCGTATAAAGATTTATGTGCGGCTAAATTGACCACAGCATTATGGGAATTTTTTTTCAATTTCGATGAATCTTCCATCAGATCCATCGATTAATGATCATTTGAAAAAAATTACCTGCTTTCTTGGAAACAACAATGACACCCCAACGATAATGAGTGGAGATTTCAACAGCCGTCATTCATCATTTTGGAATGGGAAGGATACAAAAAAAAGGCCAAAAACAAGTGAACTGGATACAAGAGTTAAAATTAGAAGCATGAAAAACAACAACAAAAATTTCAAAATTTAAAATTTGAAAATGTAGTAAATAACTGCTATGAAATTTATTCTGTATAACCTTTATTTTAAACTTTAGTCATATGCTATGTTATATATTCAAATGTTTTCTTTTTCTTATTAACCATTGTTATTTTCATGTTTGAGATTATTTTTCATTAATAAAATTATATATATCCATCCACAATAACATAAAAAAGTAAAACACTGGCTGGCTGGCTGAGACGAAACACTTTTTTCTATTTCAATGTACATGCTCGAAAAATGGATGGCTTGCATTTTTTATTTATAAGGATCTTTTGATTTTTACATAAACAAATGGCTGGCTTGCATTGGACTTGGCCTTATGACTAAGCTAGACTTCGTCTACTTAGTAGACGAAGCCAATGGCCAATGGCTTGCAATGCTAGTATTTCATATTCAACATTTGGTAGCAGAGCGTGGTTCATAATTTCCCGCCTCTCCAATTTTGTCTTGTCTTTTATTTTTGCTTTTGTTTTCAACTACTAAAATGTCTGGTAACAAAGCAACAACACCCGATCTTTCTTCGGTTTTGCAACAACTATCAAATACCATCGCTTTGATGTCAAAACCACAAGATCCGGTAAAACAAGATTCCAAATTGACTGAAACGTTTGTTTTTGGTCAAGTTTCAAAATACGATGGTAATAATGTCAAAGCTTGGAATTTATTTTGCAATATATCATTTCAATTTGCCTTCTGAACATAATGTTGTTTTAATTTCTCAATCACTTTCTTAATTTTCTTTATCAATTTTTTCTTTTTTTTGATAATTACAATGCTGTTGCCTTTTTTGCCTTCATAATCTTTTTTTGTTTGTTTGTTCTTCGCCTTTCTCTGTTTGTTATCATCATAGAATATTTGTGGATAAAGAAAATTGTTCATCGAATAGACACTCATTGGCACTAATTATTTTATGTATTGTTTTTTGCATTTTAAAAAATTCTATGTAAATAAATTAAAAATTTGTGAATTTAAATTTGTGTGTGAAGTTCAAATCCATATAATGATGATACATCATCTAATGACGGCACCTTCCGGCAAATGCGTGATATTTCAATGCAGTGTTTGCATCATTTGTGTTTGATGTGTTGAAATTGGGAAGAATTTTTCAAATTTTCCACGTGGAAACATTTTCATTA